GCCGACGTTCCCTGCAGCTCCTGACGCCTACAACCAGTTATTGACCCCTCAGGGTACGCCTGTACCAAGATCATCATCCTTGATAAGCCATAGCAGCACACCTCAGACAGTTCCTCCGATACGCTCAAAAACAGACGCAGACCGAGCCAAGATTCTTAGGCAGCAGCAGCAAATGGGGCTCCGCGCAGGATCTGTATATGGCATCGACTCTCCTGGGAACCCGTCAATGAACCCAAGCGCAGAGATACTTGGGCTTCCAGAGATACCCGCCGGCAAGCGACGTAAGTTCAATCCATCGAAACTCTCCACAACTGATTTTAAGAAATGCGCCGAACCGTGGGCTTTGAGCTCTGTTGTAATGTGGGTCAAAGAGATGAGCGAAGGCGAAGCGGACCTCAAGGAACAAGCAATTGTTGAGGGCATCGTTGCGCTCTTCACTCACAAAGTACCAACCATGAACACAGCCGACGCGGAGAATCTTGGCGCCAAAGTTGTGCGGTCTATGTATGATTCGGGCACTCTCCTCAAAGAGGAGGAGTGGGTCAAATTCGGAACCGCTGAAATGTCCGGTGTTCTTTTCCAACTTACTGGCACTGGTTGCTACTCCCCTCGTGTCCACGTGGAGGCGTTGCCAGGGAGATGTTATTCTCATCATTGCATGCGGACACTGAAGAAAATAAACTTGCAAACTCAGGCTCTAGAACCTCAGCGAAAGGCCGAGGATTGGCCAACCTTTTACAAGGTCACGAAAGCAGACATCGAAAACGTCGATAAGAAAGAGGTTGAACGTCAGAACAATCTACATGAGATCGTGACGACAGAGGACGATTTCATGGACCAGCTGAATGTACTGAGGGTACTTTACAGAGACGAGCTTTCCAAATGGCAGCCTCCTATTCTCCCACCCAAGAGAAAAGACAAATTCCTTTGGGATGTCTTCGGTAGGGCCGATGCCATACAACAAGCTAATGAGGATTATCTTCTTGCCCAGTTGAAGTACCGCCAGCAGGAGCAAGGCCCATGGATCGTCGGCTTTAGTGATATTTTCCGCGAGTGGATCCGGAAAGCCAAGAACGCGTACATCGAATATGCAGCAGCTTTCCCTAATGCTTCTCATTTGATTCGTCAAGAGTCCGATCGTAACATTCTTTTCCGACAATTTCTCGACCAAATGAGAGCAAATGATCGTTCCAGACGACTTGGCTGGGATACCTATTTAAAAGCACCCATCACAAGACTGCAACGTTATACACTCCTGCTTTCTACCGTGCACAAGAACACGGTGCAAGATTCGGAAGAGAAGTCGAATCTCGCGATAGCAATTGAAGAGATCAAGGTAGTCACATTAGAGTGTGATACGCGAGTTGCAGAGATGACAAAGAACGTCGGCCTGGCAGAGCTCTCTGGCAAGTTGCAATTGCGGCCTGGAATGGACAATGTGCAATTAAACCTTACGCATTTGGGAAGGGAAATTATTTTCCAAGGAGACTTGCAAAGGATGGGCAAGAACAAATTCGGCTGGGTGGATACCCATGCTATATTATTTGACCACTATTTGGTTCTGGCGAAGATAGTATCTGTGCGAGACGCAGCTGGTGGTTTGAAGTACGAGAAGTACGATGTGTCCAAAAACCCAATACCCATGGATCTCCTGGTTTTGGAAAGCAAGGACGATCCCCCAGTCATAAAGTCTACAATGAAGGGCTTAGGAACTGTCACTACTATTACCACCAGAGTAGACACTCCTCAGGAAACCCGAGCAAGCCGACAATCTATGTCTTCACCTGGTCCAGGCGCGCTTGTGCATACAAACACAGCCTCTTCTGTTGCATCAACGGCAACGAATGCTTCTAGCAGGACAATGACCGCCCCAACTGTGATAGACAGCCCAAAGGATGAGAAAATCATGTTTCCCTTCCGGTTTAAGCATCTCGGCCGCGACGATGTGTACACGCTTTACGCACCCACACATCAGAACCGGTCAGACTGGTGTAATAAGATCATAGAAGCAAAGACCAGGCACGCAGCGTCGCTGTACAAGCAAGGTGCAGAACCGTTCCGGTTGAGAGTGGTAGCGGACACAGCCTTTGCGTACGACGCCATGTCTGGCATGGGCAAGACTATAGTGATCTCCGGTACACCACTAGACCGTGCTATCCGAGAGGTGGAGGAGAAGTATAAAGACACAGGCCCACGGCCGAACCCGGTTTGCAGGGCCGCAGTCAACTGCGCAACAGCATTCAACCAACCTTATGGCAATCCGATGGTGGCTGTGGGCACAGACTACGGAGTCTACATTTCTAATAACGGCAACTCCAGAGGCTGGACAAGAGTAAGCAGTCGCAACATTCCAGATGATCTCCCATAGCCGTGCTAACATCCACGTCTCAGGCAATCCACGTGCTACGTGTAACCCAAATCGCTGTACTCGAAGAATTCTCCCTCTTCCTCCTCATCTCGGATAAGTCTCTTATAGCCTATCACCTCGACACCGTCTGCCCCGCATCCGGCACCCCTTCTCCGAACAGTGCCTCCGACTCTGCCAGACGCGCCCCTCAAAAACTGTCTGGCACCCGCGACGTCGGGTTCTTCGCCCATGGTCGCCAGAAAGACCGCGCTCTAGTCTTCTACAAGAAACGCGAGGGTGCTTCGTCCATCTTCAAAGTACTTGAGCCAGTTTACCAAAAATCTTCCACCTCCTCGTCTGCGCGAAGCCGATTCGGCATTAAAAAGGGCAGCGTCGAGTTCTTCCGCGACTTCGACGAGTTTTACATTGGTAGCGAGACTTACACCATCAACCTGTTTCATAGCAGCATAGCCATCAGTACTGCTAAAGGTATTGAAGTTATGAATTTAGACAAGAAACTCCCTATATCAGTCCCCGATCTCAAACCTCCCGACTGCGCCAGCATCGCCCATCGCATCCGTGACCAGAAACCCCTCGGAATGTTCCGCCTTTCGGACTCTGAGTTCCTGCTGGTTTTCGAAGAAGTAGGCATTTATGTCAACAAACATGGCGATGTGTCTCGCGCAGTGGTTTTGGAGTTCGTTGGGAAGGCCAAACAAGCCGCGCTCTGTACTAGCGCTAATAGCACATATCTTATCCTTGTGGATCATGCTGGGGGATATGTGGAAGTTCGCAACGCAGTCAATGGCAGGCTAAGACAGATGATTAGTGGGAGAGATGTAAGACTGCTTGATGATGGCGGCGGTGGGGCTCAGGGCAGCAAGGCGGGGACGGTGAAGCTTTGCATGCAGCACCCAGAGTGGGAGCGATGTCAGGTCGTGGTGGAGATGATTGTTAACGAGGGTTCAAAGGAGTAAAGAGGCTGGGTGTACGGAGATGCAGGGTGATGCCCGTTTGGCTATGTGTATGAAGAACATTGGAGCATTCGGTTTGGTGGAACTCGGTTCGGATTTCAACGACTGAATGATGAATGTACTCTATTCTGCTTGCCCGGCCTTACAGGCCGTATCCGAGCGCTTGCGGTGTTACCTATCTGCACTGGGCGTCAAGATTTACTACTCCGTAACCTTGGCATTCTCTAATGGCCACTGGGTAATGGAATTGACAACTTTAAGGAATGAAAAGGGTTTCAACTAATGATTATATTTTTCTTCTAAACCTGAGGTTCTCGCCTGAAAAACTCAAGCAATTCAAGACTCGTATAAAGCCTGGCTCAATAGACAACGATAAAGATCGTCCTACCAGGACCTTAACCAACACCAGCCGATATCAGCATTTCGCCATCATCAAAGTGTTGAATTTGTTAACAGCGTGAATGTTCACCCGATGGACCACCTCCCACCAAAAACAAAACAGGCCTCTTTCCCAGACATCTTCCACCTAGAATGGAATGATCCAACATTCAGCCGTATCTGTGACTTCCTGCTCATTGCAATCATTTTGGATCTCACAGAAACATCCGAAAGCCTGGCAGCCTTATACCATGTCTTCTTGCCATACCAATGGAGTATGAAACCGCGCTCTGCACCGCTGCGTAAAGCAACCGACAAGTTCGCGGTCTCTACTTGGCAGGTCCAATGCCTCGATATCAAAAAGCTCTGCTTCATTTCACATTGAATGGGCGGTTAGTGTGACTCAGATCCAGGCGTTCTCGTGCAAGAGGGACTGGAGAGCTGGACGTGGATCTGGCTGAGGCGGCGACAAACCGACGGGACCGCAGCGATTACATCTAGCCTGACATCGAGGAGGTAAGTGCTGTAGAACCAGGACTCCGATGATCTCGAAGCTCTACCGCCTGTCGTTCAAAGATGGACGCAAAGAAGCAGATAGGCGATGTTGACAGACGCAATCTAGTTATGAATGGATTGAACGGCAAGGGAACCTCCAAAGGAAAGAACACAACAAGCCATCTCGCCCCGCTCTGCCTGCTCGCCTCGTTTTATAGATAACACTAGGTGCTTGGTGCACAGTCCACACTCTCGTTGATCCGATCTCCGAGACTGGCTCAACATTCTTGTCTCAATTGTACTGCTTTCGTGTTTTACAGACTGGTATCCCGTCTTCTGTTTCCCGTCTTGCATATCCCGTGTCTCGTCCCGCCGTACCCCTCACTTTTTACGACTCCCATCACAGACATGTCTCAGATGTACCTAGAGATGCGGCCGCTGCTGCCCTTAGCGTGCAGTTTCTTGCAGCTCTGGTTCGAGAGGGCCCTTTCCAATCTAAGTCTTGCTGAGATAGACACTGATCCAGATGCTTCGATTGGCAGACCCTTGATGTCATGTGCACGGCAAAAAGGCAGGACACGCGCACGGTTCAAGCGTATTTGTCGCACAGACCACTTTATGGTGCAACAGCTTACCGCCGGGTTGCTGGTGGTGTGTGCTTTAAGAGGATCTCATTCCGCGCCTGCTCAAGCTGTTCGAGCCCTCAAGCAATTCTTTCACGAACTTCTTCCCCAAGGCATCTATACTGCCTTGAAGCAGCAACTGAGCACTTGAAAGAGCCGTCTGCCCAACATTCATACAGCGTTATGCTTCTGCTTCCAAAGACCTTCATTCCGGCTTTCTGCCTTGTCTATCTTGGAGCGGCTGCCGCCATCCCAAGTTTGTCGTTCAAAATCCATTTCAAATGGTACAACCTAAGCTGATCATCATATGTAGAGGCCATTGATGCATCAGTCGAGTCTACGCAGTTCAAGCGTGAGGTAGACAACAATGGCTACACCTTGACCAAACGAGGCAACGATGACAGCCTTTACAAGAAGGACGGTCTCTACAAAAAGGGCGAGAATGAAGACAGCCTAGAAAGGAAGGATAGCCTTTACGACAGCGTGTACAAGAGGAACAGTTTGTACGAAATTCTCCACAAGAAGCGCGAGGATGAAAATAGGCTGTACAAGAAAGATGGCGCGTACAAGAAGGCTGAGGACGAGGACAGTCTCTACAAGAGAGACAGCCTTTACGGGAAGGCAAAAAATGCGGACAGTGTCTACAGGCACTAGGCACCAACGTCAGTATGCTGCCACCAGGTCTCCAGATTAGCCGCGATTCCTGATATGCTGATAGCTCATGGTTTTCGGAGAGAAGTCTATGGATGATAGTAAGGCTCTGTGAGTTGCAAGGAGAAGTGTTGTGTGGTAGGGTGTAGCCAGGGAATGCAAGACAATTGTACGAAATTGTTGCGCAAGTAGTGATTACTTTTGTCGTTGCGTGTAGAGTAGGTCGTCCAATACGGAAAGCAGATAAATCTTCCTACCATGCAAAGAAGAGAGAGGTCATTGACATTGACAACGGGGACACGTGAAAAGGCAGAGACCAGCCTGGCGCACTTATCAAGTTCACTTAGGCTCCTAGAGAAGGCGGCTCCGTATTTGCATCCAGATATACTGAGAGAAAATGTAGAGTGCCTTGAAGGTTGAAGCAGGCTTCCCAAAGAAATAGAAGACTCGGAACTTCCAATGTCTTGGCACTCGGCTAAAATTAGACTCAATTTTTATCTACTCGTTCCCGTCTTCTTTTTTGCCACCTTAAGGCTGATAAGCTAGACGATCAAACCGCTACCACTACGTTTCAAGCGACAAGCACGCCGAGTGTATGGATCAGAGCCTCCATACTGCCGCAATCTGGTTCACGCATCCCCACTGTTTTCACAATTATCCCGGCTATCAACCCCACCACATTTCATCGCGGACGGTGACAGTCCATGCTTCACTCGGCGCGAAGCCTTCGGTATCCCCTGACGCAACAAAGTACCCAGAACAACAGTCCTTTGCGGGCTCAACGTCATGGTCCGGTAGACCTCGCGCAGTTCCAAACCTCGGAAACGTCCGTGAATAACACTGTCGCTACTGTTAGGGGGGGGCTTTCTCTCTGCTTTCTCGGCCTGGTTCGCCTATTGTCGCGTGCTTCGTCATACCGAAGGCTCTGAGCCCCGCGCTTCGTGTCACTCATCCTGCGTCCGAAGAGTACCGTCATTGCTGTGGTGTCTGCTTACCGCCGCTGGTCTCTCTCAGCCAGCAGAGTTGGCTGGGAAGCTGGCTCCGGCTATGGCGCTGATAGTGCCGCCGTCGAACGAGAAGAAGAGAGTCAAGGTTTATGAGCTCAAAAACAATGACTGGTTCGATCGGGGGACTGGGTTCTGCACCGGACGCATCATCAATGTAAGCGATCAAAAGGCATGGGAAACCGTAATTACGGGACTTCGTGCCTGGGGATGTCCTGTAACCAAGCGGAAGACACGACGCTGATCTGGGTGTAGGATGAGTCAAAGATATACGTCGAGTCGGAAGACAGCCCAGAGCGATTGCTTCTGGAAACGAAGATAACGAAGGACGATGGATACCAGAAACAGCAAGGTGAACGCGCATGGCGACAATGTATGGTGTGAATGGTGGCTCATTCATATGCATGCAGATACCCTTATCGTATGGACCGAGACAAGTGGTATAGACATGGCTCTCAGTTTTCAAGAGGCAGAGGGTTGTGCGACCATCTGGTTAGTACTTGCCAATCTACAGTACTGCGTGCTTCTTTGGCTCGTGAAGGAAGGCGCATGTGACACAGGCTCATGATTACATTACAGGGATTTCGTTAGTCAAGTACAACAACAGCTACTGTCACTTGGAGGTCCAGGTACGTCCTCGGACTTCTCTCCAGGCTCTTCTTTACGCTCTGCTTCTCTTTTCGGATTGCGCTAATCTGGCTGGGTCGCCATCTAGACGACGCCCTATCAGACGACGCCATGGAGAGCTTCGCCAAACCCTTGGTCCTTCCGCAACCCGAGATCGGGAATTTGGATGATATCGAGCACGCGATGCGTGGAATAGCGTCCACGCCGCAAGGTCGAGACGCGCTGGCGAAGTTCGTCATCAGTGAAGACTACATCCGGAAGTTGATACCTTTGGTGGAGATGGCAGAGGATCTTGAGTCGCTGAAGGACCTGCACTGGCTGTGCAACATCATGAAAATGCTCATCCTTTTAAATGACAGCCAGATCATTGACCACATTGTCAACGAAGAGGTGGTGTTTGGGGTGATTGGCGCTTTAGAATGTGAGTACACAGGGCCAACCCCGCTATAACCATCATGTTATGCAGGTTTTACCCTATTAGATACTGATACTCTGGTGTCGCAGACGACCCGGACTTCCCAAACCATAAGGCAAATCACCGACGATACCTCAAGGACAACTCGAGATACAAGGAAGTTCTGTCCATCGCAGATCCAAACATCACCAGAAAGATACACGCTACATGGCGCCTTACCTATCTGAAGGACGTGGTTCTCGCAAGGATCCTTGATGATCCAACGTTTGGCGTTCTTAACTCTCTCATATTCTTCAATCAAGTCGACATAATCTCACATTTACAGAACAATCCGGGTTATCTCGAACAGTTATTTGGCATAATAGACAATCCTACGGCCGATATCAAGCGGAAAAGGGACGCTGTTGGGTTCATTCAGTCTTGTTGCGCAATAGCGAAAAGCCTCCAAGTGACACCGCGGGCCACTCTCTACACCAACTTCATCAACCATGGGTTGCTTCGTGTGATAACATTTGCCATTTTGAACAAGGAAGCATCCATTCGGGTGGCCGGCACGGATATACTGGTTGCCATGATAGACCACGATCCTGCCATGGTCCGAGCCTACATCTACAAAGCCATCAACGAGAAAAAGACTCCACTCACCGAGACTTTGATTGAGCTCTTACTTGTCGAAGTTGATCTAGGTGTCAAAGCTCAAGCTGCCGACGCAATTAAGGTATTACTCGAGCCCCAGCCAACCCAGCCACCACAACAACAGCCCCAATCCCAACCTCAACAACAACCTCCACAGGCCCAATCTCAAGAAGCTATTGCAAGGCAGACGGGGGAATTTCTGTCGAAGGTGCGAGGAGTAAACCCGTTACTAAACCCCCAAACTGAGTCATTTATCCAGCACTTTTACGATAATTCCGCGAGCAAATTATTTCAACCCCTGAAGGATCTTGAGAAAAGGGAAACACGTAAGTAGCAGGTCCTTGCGAACATAACTCAGACGGCAACTAATCAGTCGCCAGTGAATGATATCACATTCCATGAGGTGCAATTGTTCAATCACTTGGTCGAGATTATCATCTATCTTTCTCGTACACATCAATTTCGAAGTAAATATTACATCTTTTCGGAAGACATTTCCTCACGAATAGCGCAATTGCTCTCTGCTCCGCAGAAGCATCTCAAGCTAAGTACGATTCCGAGCCCTCCGTGGAATGTGTAAGCTTTGGCCAATAACTCTTGCAATAGCTGCCTTGAAGTTCTTTCGCCAGTGTATAGGCTTGCAAGATGAATATTACAACCGGCAGATCATGCAAAAGAACCACTTCGCACCTATCCTCAACATAGTTTACGAGACAATGCCGCGTGACAACCTACTGAATTCTGCTTGCTTAGAGCTTTTCGAATACATAAAACGAGAGAACATAAAGCAACTGATTGAGCATCTTGTGGAGACTTTCCGTTCGAAACTTCAAGAAATCACCTACGTCGACACTTTTGAATCACTCCTGCATCGCTACGAACAAATGCAAGGCTTCAATCCGGATGCAGATACCACACTATTCAGCAATGACAGCACGAGTACCCCCAATCGGACACCAAACGTCAATGGCAATCAACGATGGCAAGGCGTCAAGGAGATGGATGCTGTCGAGGAAGCGTACTTCAACACATCAGACGATGAGGACGAGCCGTTGCCCAAGGCGGTCTTATCAAAGGCTGCGAAGATGAATGGGGTTACAACTTCTCCAATGCTGAAATCTCTGGTCGACTATCCGGACGACGACGAAGATTCTATGGACACAACCCCACCAGAACCTGAGGAACTCGGCACCAAGCCCGAACTAGAACCATCTCCAATGCTCCAAACCCCGCCGCCAGAGCGCTTGTCAGAAAAGCGCCGGAGAGAAGAAGACAATGACGAAGATGAACTTGGGAAACTGTCCTCGACTAAGCGGCGGAATTCCGGCTCCTCAGCCTCGAACACTGGTAGTGCCGCAGGCCACAATACTCTCAAGCGAAAAAAAGGGTTCAAGAATGACCGCGACTCTCCGACCAACGGTCCCAGTGCGAAGAAGATCGAAATCTCGCTCAGCGCCAAAAAGGCGGTTTCAGAAGCAGGATCCAAAGGCGATGATGGGGGATGAAGGTTCATGAATTAGCGTTGTAGTTAGGGAATAAACCGGCGTCCACGTGGATACTGTGGCAACAGCTCATCAATCAGGGTGAAGGTATCAAGTAGCAGGGCGCTGATGCCGAAGGATGCTTTCAGGGACAGGGGCAAAGGGGCCTCTGAAAATAGAAAAAGCTGCCGCGGGCTACCTGTATGATATGAAGATGCCTTTCGCTACATGAGTATATTATGACTTTGAATATCTTGGGATACTCACCGCCTGTGAGGCACTCTGAAGCGAGCTATGAAGCTCCCCACGACATTTCTCCCAGGGCACACTTCCCTGTCCAAATGCCTAAGTAATTAACTTTGAAGCCCCCAGGGATCGAGGGAATGTTTTACATCACCGGCGCTAACGATAAGGCTGCTCCCGCGCCGAATCAATTCAACGCAGGTACGAGTTGCCAAAGATATTACCGTACGTGAGGACTCGATTCGAAAGACAAAAACGAGACTCGACTCGAACTCTGTAAGGACAAGAATATACAATCTGCATAGCTTTCGCATGGCCATTGATCTATTGCAAGTCATACTGGATCCGAAGCGCAACCAAAGGCCTTCCATTGGTCTATGCATAAAACACCACAACTTGTCAACCCCTGACGGTGCCTGAGACTTGCACAACTTTTCATCACGGGGATCTATCGAGGACATTGTGGATTCCCTTATAGCAGTGTTCCAGCCTTCGTTCCCAATACACAGTAGGCCGGTGTGGCAATCATACCTTTATAGGGGCTGACTCAAGACCTCATTGCGTAGATTTCCCGCCACGTCCAAGTCCACGTGGAAAGGTGAGGTATAGAACAAAGGCATTGATCTGTCAGCCTTCATGAATTCGCCTTTGCAGGTTTAGGGAATCTTTGTCATCTACTATGCCACTGACTGGTACACAGTCATATTCTTTGTGATAGGTTTCGCTGGATGCGGAGCAGTAGACAGGGGAAAATTTCCCGGACATTGTGAAACAAGTCGGCTTCCTCAAGTAGATAAATAGACAAGAAAATTGGGAACTTTAGTAAGAATTACTTTGATGATTGATATCTGTCTACAGATTCTCAACAACTTATTCGGTGAGCATGTAAGATGAATGCTGCTTACTCCGTAAAGGTTTAGGTGATAAAGGACCCCCCAGACGGAATAGCGCCGTCACGGTGATGATCAACTTAGCGCCAGTGTCTTGACAGAACAATTGCCCCTGCTTGCCTCTCCAAGATAAATCAAATTCCCCCCTCACCACAGTCGTCACTTCCTCTCCAGGATTTTTGCTCACTGCAACATCAAGTCCAGCATCTTGTGTTCTGCTTCGCCGTCCCTCCCAAACCTCGTGGCGGAACGCCCCTGGACCATCACGACCACGGGTCTGTGTTCCTACAATCTATATGCCAACAAACATACCTTTCACCTCGCATTGGCTTTCCCTAGGTACATTGTGCATTGGAATTCATCCTGAAAATTTCACTTAGCAGCAGTCTTTGAGAGTGCAGCACTGCAGCCGGAATACGATACACACCCCTCTACACCGTCTCACTCTACCCCGTACAGAATATCGGACAGATCTGCATTCGTTTCTACTGACACACAGACGCTACCAACTTCTTTTCTTGCACCTAAAGTCTTCGGCGAGGTATCTGGGGACCCTTCAGATCATACTCTCCCAACACACAAACAACACTTCACAGACAGGGGCCCACTTGAGAGGGCGCCAACGCTAGCAACAGCTTTCAATGGGAATTGTGTTCTATTCAGATCAAAAGGTGGCACGCTGCCGGTGACAAGAGGACTTCTTCACGATGCCGAAGAAAGAGGATCTGAGCGACTTCCGGCTAGCCTCCATGCCACGCCCACACCTGACGGCCCACCACTCAAGCTCACTACCATCGACACCCTCCCAGCATGCGCGAAAACTCTCCTTCGGTGCTCGCTCACCATCTCCTACCAAAATAGCGAAAGAGAATTCTCCTAAATCAACACACTCCGAAGATGACAATGGCGTGCGGTCGCAGAACAAGCCCCCCTCAATTGCGGGGTGCAGATATGAGACTGGCATGGCATTTTCGAGGAGGCGGATACCTTATTCAATAGGTGGAGATCAATTAGAAAGAGCAAAGACGATGCCAAAGAAATTTTTGAATCCTGCCGACGAGGGAAAGCTGAGTGGAGATATGAGAGAGCTATATGACCGGATACTTCCGACAAGAGAGAGCGACGAGAGGAGAGCAAGATTTGTGCGGAAGCTAGAACGTATATTGAATCAGCAATGGCCGGGCAACGACATCACGGTGCACGTCTTTGGGTCTTCTGGAAATATGCTGTGTACCAACGACTCAGACGGTGAGCTTGAAAGTAGTTCAGGAATGGATATACTGGCTTGGAACTGACAAGGACTAGTGGACATATGCATTACGACACCTTTGAAAATCTTGGAACGAGTGTGCTTGCTAGCCAACGCACTTGCAGACCGTATGGAGTCTGCAGTCATTTCATGTTGCGATCATACTGACTCTCATGCAGATGGGATGGAACGAGTTGTCTGCGTGCCACATGCGAAAGTGCCTATAGTAAAGTTCTGGGATCCCGAATTGCAACTTGCTTGCGATATGAACGTCAACAACACCCTGGCTTTGGAGAATACACGGATGATCAAGACCTACGTGGAGATTGATGAGCGTGTGCGGCCTCTCGCCATGATTGTCAAGCAGTGGACAAAACGCCGAATACTCAACGATGCTGGTACGTGGTCTCAGCCCCCAACCTACCTCTGATCTATCTTTGCTGAGACGTCAAAATAGCCCTAGGTGGTACCCTCAGCTCTTATACCTGGATATGTCTAATCTTAAACTTCCTACAAACACGAAATCCTCCCGTCCTACCTTCCCTCCACAAAAAACCCCACGAACTCCAAGCAGGTTCTGATAGCAGATGTGCTGGGTTCAACGACGACCTTGAGCGGTTTCGTGGCTTTGGCAAGCTAAATAACGAAACGCTTGGAGAACTCCTTTTCAGCTTCTTCAGATGCTACGCTTACGATCTGGATTATGAGAAATGGGTCGTCTCTGTTCGGGAGGGGCGATTGATCTCAAAAGAAGGTAAGAAGTGGCACTTAATGCAGAACAACCGCCTCTGCGTCGAAGAGCCATTCAATACCGATAGGAATCTTGGCAACACAGCAGATGATATTTCTTTTCGAGGTATTCATCTGGAACTAAGGCGGGCTTTCGACCTAGTCAAGGAGGCACAGCTTGCCGACTGTCTTGAGCAGTACGAGTTTCCAGCCGCGGAAGAGAGAATATGGGAGAAGCCCGCGCCGAAGCCGCCACCTGTGTTGTCTCGGAGCAGGAGTCAATCGCAGTCATCTACGAGGGGCAATAGGGGAGGTCATGGTATTCGAGGAGGGGGCCGCCATGGTCAGCACCACCGTTCGGGGCAGGGAGCCAGGAGAGCATCCAGCGCCGCCGCCATGAACAAGTATGTGGCTCCTCAAAGTGGGCTACAAGGGATCAGGGGTCGCGACTACTCATCTCGGGAGCACCCTCTACAAGCCCAGTACGACCAGCTTCGCCTCCATGACAGACTCTTCAACGAGTTTCAGCTCCTTCAACAACAGGAACATGAGTTACGGCTTATACAAGCTCAGAGAGAGCTTGAGGCTCAAATGGCCCAAGCTACCCACGCATCCAGGAATGGCTCGTTAATCCCACATCAAGGAGCACCAGGACAGCCCCCTCCCATGCCTAAAAACCATCAGATTCCCCTCACGGCTCCCATACGAAGCGGGCAATACTTCTACCCATTCGCATATCCACAGGTACAAGGTACATCGCAGCCAAACGTACATACACAACCTTCATCTCCTTCAATGAAGCCTGCACAACCGGACCTGAGACGCAGCCTACACCGTTCTTCGGCTGCGGAAATTGCGCATGCTGCAAACCATCGATCTCATTCGCAGCCGGCTAGACCGATTCCCGTGAACGTGGCTGCACAGAGCGCACCTCCACTTCCTCTCAATAGTGCTGCGTTCTTGCAATACCAGCAATTCCGCCAGCAACAGTTATACAATCAAATTGAGCAAGGCCGATACAGACATGTTGAGGTGCCTATGTATCAGGATCCAAGGCGTTTACCAATGGATCAACCCTTGGAAGAGGATGTGCCGAAGGAATATGTGGGGTACTGGGTGAACGACTCGCCGCCGCCGCGACTTTACAGAGATGACCCACGATTTCCAGCATATCAAGATTTACATCCTCGTGTTAGAGGTGTACCTCAAAACTTCAGCAGGCTGAGGGATACCTCGAGGTCTCCATCTCCGTCACCTGCGCTCCCATTCCGCGATCGCGCTTACAGTGTTCGATCTGCATCGTCTGCTCCCTCTGGACCCTTGCAGCCACGTATGGATAGGGTCCAAATTGCCGCGCCAGGCTCGCGTGCTTCCGGTCCGCTAATAATAAACGGCTCTGATGAGTGGAACATGTCCGATTATCCAATGATCCCAGAGGCTTCATCCCATACTACGACGATAAGTGAAGCAACGTCGGGTTCTGACGACCGCTTGTATGAGACTCCCGCCACTACTGAAATGGATACGCCAAACCACCATCATGGTGTTGATGATGGATTTGTACAGGACGACCCCAATCAGTATTTTCATGCGCGCATGACGGCTGAACCTTCCAGCACATTGGCCAAAGGTCGAGTTGGCAAAATAGATTCGATCATGCGGCGTGCCAACCCTCCATTGAACGATATCACTACCTCTTCGAATACAAATAACCGGACAGAGAAACTGAACAGATCTGCCGGTGGCCTAGGCATACAATTTGGAGAACATGAGATTAATCGTCCGTCTGTGAAGGCTGAAATGCCAATCTCGCCTGGGGCAGCGCGCGATCCTGCTGCAGCCTCAAAGCCAGACGTGATACCCAACGTACAGCCAGACTTGAAAACAGACCACTTCATTGGTCGAACTGAGAAGCTACCAATGCCTATCCCTGTTCCACTGCTATCACCTGTCCGTGAAGTACGAACCCCATCGCCATCAGCAGCATGGCGAAGACAGATTGGAGAAGCAGAATTACGACGCAGTAACGGGCGCTTCGCTGCCAAGCTAGATCTCCGTATACCCACTTATGCAGACCTCGCGCGTGCGAAACAGGAAAAGCAGAGCCTGAATGGGACATTGGGGCAGAAGCCCAACGGGACCTCGTCTTCGCAACTTGCAGAGAGCGCCAAGTCGATTCGGTCGCCTCTGAGCCCGAGGACGAAAGAGACACCGCAGCATACGCTGGAAAACGCCAAGGCGCAACCGCAAGTCAATGGATGGCAGCAGTCGGGCAAGAAGGGCAAGAAGAACAAGTCAAGGCCTAGCTCGGGCCAGATACAGATACTACCCGGTGAGGTGATGCCAGCCAACGAAGCTGAGCGAAAAGGTGGTTGATACAAGGGATTCTCCAATTATGCTTCTAGGTCCTGCATTTTTGGAGTAGGAGCAAGAGACTACGAGTGTGGATTACCATTATGCGGGGGTCACCGATGACGGGCACGCCCAGCAAAGACGAAATGAGCTTCTTCAACGAAGTCAAGCCTACAGACATCCCGGATTCAGAAGTTGAAGAAGGTCAGACGAGTGTTGTATAGGATATCTCGTTGGAGGGTCTTTTATGCATAGCGGCGTGGGGTGGGGTTTCTTTTTGTCACACATCTAACGGTTTTCGGATTGAGAAGAGCATTCATGTTTGGGCTAGCAAGCGCGTCAGTCGCGTCTTCTGTCGTCCGGTTCCGACAATGCTCCCTTGGATGGCAGTGATGCGGCACTACTTGGAGTTTGGGCCAGTGAGAAGAGGCTACAAGAGCGAAGCAGCGAGACACACAGCGTGGGGTGGATGAGGTCGCCAGCTGTCGCGTGTGTCTCAATGAATGCTTCTGGGTGCCAGGGTGCCCAGGTCTGGTTCTATAGAGAAGAGACAGAATTGAAATTGTTGAATATCTCAGCCTGAGGGCCTCGGACGCGTGGGTGAGACCTTGGTTGAAGAATTTGACTACCTTGTCGCCAAGATGAATTCAAAGATGAACTGCCGTCCAAGACGAGGACCGAAGCATGTTGCATTCGGAAGCACTACCAACATCGGCTTTTCTCCAGTCTTGATGCGTCTTCCCTAATACACAATACACTGATATTTTCGATTCTGCTTCGTGTGCCGAGCTTCACATCTGCTGTTTGATGGAGAGGGACTGCTTTCCGAGCGGCTTTAGCAAAGATGCTCGTCCATGTTTTCTTTCCTTCTTCTCCCCACATATACTCTTCCATTGCCATGCAACGCTTAGCATGTCTCTCCAGACACTCAATCTACTAATGTACTCTCGGCCTCATTGCGGGTGATGCATGCTCTTTAATGTTGTTTAGTTTGGGCCTGGGCCTTCAATTCCCCCACATCGCCAAGACGAGTGGGGTGGGGCAGAGAGTGACTACTGCAGCATTTGCATTTACATTTGCACTCGCACCCTTCTGACTTTTCCCTTTCCCTTTCGCACAGTCAATGAAAATATATTCTACCGCATTCTTACTCCAGCGACACAGTGAGCGACTTCGAGTCTTTGCGCTCACTTTCCCCCTCAAAGACTCCTTTCCGTTGCCTACCAGCTGCTTTGCTCCCACATTACAATCCCTGTCTGAGCTCGAGGCGCATAAACATGCACACCCACAATGGGAAATCCTCAGCCATTGACCAGGTCGATCCGGTCACAGGCGACACCAAAGACTTGCCCTCGAGCAGCTCTTCCCCCGTGCACGCTGCGCCTGAGGTCATCGGGATCAACGATAGAGCGCCTGACGAAAGGACTGGAGAGAATGCAGACGAGATCCAGGCGAGCCAGGGAGGCTGGTTTGCATACTTGAGGACGAGAAACTTTTATCTCGTACTTCTGCTTGGGTATAACCATTCCATACGTCCCAGTGACACCAATGGTATGAGCATCCGGAGCGCTGACAGGTGCAACAAAGACAAGTCCTCGCTCTCTGCATCACAGCAACAAACACATTCTCTTCGCTACTTGCTGCGCAACCCTTTTCCATCCCTGCGTTTCAGACATTGTGGAATTACATCCTTCTTACCCTGGTCTATGGCTCGTATACAATCTACAGGTATGGCTGGAAGGGATGGATCAAGCTCATGCTTAAGGATGGTTGGAAATACATTATTCTGGCATTTCTGGATGTCGAGGGGAATTACTTCACTGTGCTAGCTTATCGATATACGTAAGTCTCTATAGCTCTCTTCTTGCGCAAGTCGTAGAGCTAACAACCCCACGGAACAATCCTCTCCGCTCAGCTCATTAACTTCTGGGCTATCGTAATGGTCGTCCTCATCTCCTCGATATTCCTCCATGTCCGCTACCACCCCACCCAGATCATCGGCATCCTCATCTGCATCGGCGGCGTCGGCATTCTCTTCGGCAGCGACCATATCACACAAGGTTCCGGCTTCGGCGGCGTCACCGGAGGCAACCAGCTCAAAGGCGATCTGTTTGCGTTGGTGGGCGCCACTTTCTACGGCATGAGTAATGTGGCGGAGGAGTTCTTGGTCAGCAAGAGACCGCTTTACGAGGTCGTCGGCCAGCTGGGGTTCTGGGGCATGTTCATCGACGGGGCCATGACGGGCATCTTTGACCGACCGAGCTACAGACAGTCCGTCTGGAACGACGGAAAAGTCGGAGGGTACCTGACCGGGTATACGCTCTGCCTGCTCCTCTTCTATTCGGGCGCTCCGATCATGTTCCGCCTCGCGTCGGCGGCGTTCTTCAACATCAGTCTGTTGACCGGCAACTTCTGGGGCGTGGTCATCGGGGTCAAGGTCTTCCATGAACGGATACACTGGATGTACCCCATCGCGTTCGTGTGCATCATCGGCGGGTTGATCATCTACTTTGTCGGAAAGAGCATTCTGGGCGAGGCGCTGAAGCCCTGGCTCGGCAAGGATCAGGAGCGGGGTGTCAACGGGTTGGGCACCGCGAGGCGGAGGGTGGAGAGGGGGGATGAGCTTGTTGTTTGAGATTCCCATGTGGAAGGGGCGAGCCTGTGGAATGGGTCGCGCACCGCTTTGTGAGGATCTGTGGTTGGATTCAATGAGGGTTATAGGTCACGGGCCGAAGATGGCGTGGGCCGTGGATGAAGACATGATTGATGATTTGACGGCAAGTGTACGCACAATTGTTCATAGGTATGGTAAAGCCATAATCCACTATCTCTTCCAAAATTCAGCCCGTGTTCTTCCCAATCAGCCTTCGCGACTCTCAGACCATTACATCCATCCCTTACCAGCCAGTGGGTTAAGCACGCCATGAACAGCATCAACATCACCACCCCCCTCTCCCTCACACAACCAACCAATCAACCAATCTCACCTCTCTCCCAAACTCGCGGAACCCCATCCGCCAGCACCGTCACAATCTCCACTTTTCCCTAATCCCACGCCTACGCCAGATCGACCGCCCCCTTTCCCAAAAGGCCACGAAGTACCCTCTCCAAACGCACGCCATGAGTAACTCGACGGCAGCCAGCGCTCTCACTCGAACTCGCACGGTTCGAAAATCAATAGTCCAAGTTGTCATGCACAGAGGTCACCGACATCGCCGTCCCCCTCGGTACAGGTCCGTTCCCGACCTGGATACCGCAAGCATCGCTTGGGGGAAGATACCGCCGCGTGCGATCGGTGACCCGCACCGCGAAAACGGCACTCGGCGTTTTCATGCGCCAACCGCCGTGAGGGTGGACGGGGGGAGGTGGCGGGATGTGGTATCTCGCTTTGGAGTGCTACTCGTGGATGGGGGGGTGGTGTTTGGGGAGGATGTATGTGGGGGGTAGCGAGCGGATGGTTCGAGGGAGGAGTCACAGCGGTCGTGGCGTTGACTATCCTCCCCCCCAAATACTCTCTGGAGCCTTCCGAATCCATAAACGACTCGATCATCGAAGGTCGTCCCGCCGTTCCTTCTTTCTCCTCATCATCCCCGACCGCCTTCTCCGCGCCGCTATCTTCAACGCATGGCTTCAGCAGGGCGGCATCCTGCTCCCTCAGCACGAGAGAAAGTTTCGGGACTCATCCGCCTCATCGGCGTCGCGTTCGGAAGGGGGAAACGATCAACGGAAACTGCTTCGAGAGGTGGCTACCCGTCGTTTGACGCTATTTACGCATCGGGTTGTTTCGGGCTGGGCGCTGACCCGTCGTGGAATCCATGCTCGTGGGGGAGATTGTACTCGCTAAGCACATCTGCCGGCTTTAGCCAATGGAACAAGTGGAGTCGATCACGTTCTTTTCGAATGTGGTTATCCGATACTTTACTTCGCGTCCACTTCTTATGAAATCCGGACGGCTACGAACACTTCAAAACCGGCCTCACCAGGTTCAGTACACGCGAAGCACCATCTCTGACACCGTTGCAGCTCTGTTGCTTCCTATTCTCTTCACTGAGTGTGCCAGCGACATAGTTGTCAAGAGGCTCTCCTATGGTCCAGCACCACCTTGGTTGTCCATGTTGGTTTCTTTCACCTCGTCTAAGGTAATCAGCCCCACGTACAGCTGCACCAAGACCTCCCCAATTCTATCCACATTAATCGTGGTCTCATGGGCCTTGTCCTGACCATCCTGAAGGCTGATCATATCAGCCTTCCCCTGATCCCACGCATCCTTCTTAACCAAAACAAAATACCTGGCATCCCAGTCTCTCTCCCGGGCATTCTCTCTCCAAAACCGCACAATCTCCCCGACATCATCCCCTGGCGCACTTTCCCAATCTGCAAAAATAGACCCCGTCTCTGCCCTCCGGTTGCCGAGCCCCGCGTTCATCCGCTTGAGCGCCTCCGTCATCAGGTACCTCGGGTGGAATCCTCGGTCCGCGAACACGGCGAACTTTCTCCGGGGGTAGAGGGGCAGTGTCGCGTTCGACAAGGTCTCTTCCCACGGCGTATTGCCAATATTGACAGACGGCACGAAATCCCCTGCGAAGAAGATCTTCTGGCGGAGCGCATCGATCGAGCCTTTGAAATCGAGATTTACGACCAGGAGGCCTTCGGCTGCTAGATCTTGGCGATCGGCTATAACGAGGAGTGACTGGTTGAGGGATTTGGAGCGGGAGCGGTGGTGGTGGATTAATTGCGTTGGTGTTGAGCCGATGAAAGATTCGGGGATTGCGTGCCACATGTCATGGTGCTTTTCTTCTGCGCAAGTTTAGTACCATCACTGCTATTTTGGGATCATTGAGGGTGGAGGTTAGGGACTGTGAGCTGACTGCCTGTGATTCCTTTCCCTAGTCGATCTACGATGTCCACGACGTTGACATCAACGGTTCGATAAACGGCGAATCTGCCTTTGTCCATGGCTTGCGTGGTGGGTAAAAGGAAGGAGGACTGAATGGGAATATATTTGTACTTGATTTCTGGCACGAGCAACGGGATTCCAGATGCGGTGTAATGGTAGCTCAGAGATACATGTAGGCGCAACAGGTTCCTTTCCCCTTTATATCGCGAAACATCATCGGTGAGCGTAGAGTTGTTATGGTAGTGAAGCTACATCAGTGCCCAACCGAAGGCTGCTGCGCTGCACCCTCGGACACAATATGTGTAACGAAGAAAGTGGAATGGTGTGACTGGTTGGTGGTGTGGTACCTCGCCTTGGCAAAGTTGGTGTTTCAGAAAATCACCTAAAATACGTCAGTCGGTAATCTTTGTACTCTTCTCACTGAGGCTCAGAACTACGAAATAAAAAGCTCAGCAGTGAGGGGTTATGTTCTCGGAATAATAGCTCCTAAGTGTTTCGAACCAAAAAAAACATGGAGCTAGGTACGTGTGACTCTGAAACTTCAAGAATGAGGCACGCGCATGTGGCGTTTCCCTCAACGACATGTCAGGCGTGGACCAGTTCCTGTTGAAGACTAAGCATGTCGCAGTGTCTTGAACTTGGAAGCAGCTAGAGTCTAGAGTAAGGTAAGACAAGGTAGAGTTCGACACGTTTTCTTATGAGCCTCCTTCAGCCTCCTGAGGCTTCGAGCCATCTGCGAAACAGGACTACTATGCTGCTATCTATTATCTACCATGTACGAGGCCATTCATCACGCGCTTGTCTCTGCTTTCGCAAAAGTAACCCGTATAAGGTATCTCGCTTCCGCAACAGAATCCCACATGGGAAATCTAATGTTGCTGTCTCCTCGCGACGCCAACGCCTTCCTGAGAGCCTACCCAAAAAAAGAAAAGAAATTAAAGAAGAAATAAATAGATATTGTACTAGTAAGTGTGCGTCCGATCTGGGCACGGAGGCTCTTCCCATTCGTGCTCTCAATATAGCTTTATTGTCTTGGTCTGCAGAGGTTTTAATCTTAGGTTGATCAATACATACTCGTTGCACCAGACCCTAGTCCAACAGTCAAACCACTTGATCTATATTCGAACGTCTAAAGTTCCACAATGCGAGACCAGGACCGGCAGCGAATGGAGTAAGTGATGAGGAGCAGAGATTTCTGACAAGGTCGTTTGCGAGCAGAGTCTGCCATACAGTTGCCATATCGTGAAGACCACATTATGTAGCTGGATTGATCTCATGTCAAAAAAACCGAAAGACCGTCTTTTCAAGGTCTGACCCGAGCTCAGCTCAACCAGTCCCACAGCATGCTTTCGAGCCGCATACGCTACCTCGCCCGTGGGCCGACTCCTACGAACGAAAGAAAACCTGAATATGGACGGGATCCAAGTTGAAGGCCGTGCGTATTAATACATGAATCAATACGTGCCAACCCGCAAGTCTCATGCATTTGGGCTGGAAACCGGGTAATTGACAGACTGTGCCTACAACATGCATGAACAGCAAGTGCGCGGGACTCGACCGGAGGTATTTCGGAGATTTTATTCCGCCATGCTAGACATCGCATGTGCAGAGAGTCGGTCAAACTTCTAAATCTTTATTTGGCGCGAAAAATGGCAAGCGGGTCCTCATTCGAAGCTGTGCCTCCCCCATGAGGCGTGGAATCAGCTCGCAAGGGTCTTCAACAGCGAGATCGTGGGGAGCAGAGTGTAATTGTAGAGGACACAACAAACCGCTTTGCTCTTTCGAGAAGGCAATGCGAAGGTCTGACATTCGTCAAGGAACCTGGAACCACCCGGAGGTGTTTGTGAATTCATTCACCGTGTTCCTATTTCGATGTCTTCGATTGTACGCCTTCGGAAGATGTCACGAGAGGGCATTTGGGTATCCAACTACACACCATGATCCTGTTTGACCGACTCCTTGATACAGCTTACTCCCAAGCTGCCTGTTTCACGATTTCAGAGTGGCATGGTATTTGCGAACCCAACACAAGTCATCTTCAAAAGCCTATAAAGAGGGACAGGATGCAATCAAATCAGGATCTCTATCCACCCTCCCCAGTGCCCATTCCTGTACTACAATACCCCGGCACCCTCTTCCCCTCGGCTCCCAAGGATAAAGTACGACATGATTCCCCAAACTCTCTTCTTCCTGGCGGCGATAGCCAGCACCGTCCTTGCTCAAGCAGACACCCCAACCGTCGAGTTTGACTGCTCCGACACACCTGGTACTTCACCTGATCCCACAACACGCAAACCGGCATCCCCTCGCTGACTCAAGACCTAGAACTCTGCAACAACATGTGCTGGGGCGCCTACTGTACCGACGACGGGTCAGGAGCCTTCGGAACAACGCTAACTTATGACGCCCCGGACGCCGCAACCACGAACGCACGCTACAAAGAAGCTTGCCAAACCCCCAAAAACAGATGCAGTGGCAATGGGGATTTGAACTCCTGCGATGAATACCCCTTCAAGCAGACATCGGATGCGGATATCGACGCCGCCGTGAGTCGCTGCGTTACCACCAACGCGCAGTCAAGTAAGGCCCGCCCCCAATTTCCCCAAGGATCGATCGAACCAGTCTCGTCGAAGACAAACCTCCCGTAACAAGCCAAGCTGACATACCACTCCACAGTCCAAGGCGGCAAACTAAGCACCCTGTTCCAAAGTCTCGAAAAAAACGACCAGTTCATCGTCACATTTGGCAACCCCTCCGACAGCCAATACTGTTCCTACCCCCCCACCTGCACCAACACCGACGACCTCGAATGGCAGAACGGCGGGCCCGCCCCGTCCCCCGAGAAACCGCCAACCAGAAAGTGACATTACTACCTCACGGCGAGGGGCACGGAGATCATGAGCGCGGTGGAGCTGGGGATCGGGAAGCGCATCACGAGTTTCGAGGTCGATGAGGCGAAGGCGGAGGAGAATGTGAGGAGGTTGGGCAAGCGGGACCCGCGCACCGAGTACCGGACTGTGGATAATGAGGTCGTGGAGCATTTGTTTTCTGTTTGAATTTCCTGGATGCTTGGTCGGGCGGGACGCGTGGGATCGATCATTACCGTATAGATGATCTGTTCCGGAGGAAGTGTAGGGGCTGGGTGGGATAGGAAAGGGAATCCACAAAAGGGCGCGCACATGTGTTTGTTTCGCGTTGATTTTCAGCGCTGTAGGCTTTTTTTCTTCGGTATCCTGGGCTGCAAGGACCTCAATCTTTTGCGTTACTGAACACTCATGTTCTGTCCCATTAATGAACTAGTTGCATTCCGTCCAGCGCTTGGTTACCTCGACGAATTATCCGCTTAACTCATCGACCGGGCAGATCTAACGAGCTAGACGGTGTAGACAATCGAGTAATCGATCTACCCATCAACCAAGCACTCGATCAAAAAGACAGTATCATCGACGCAGTACTCCCGGGACTCACAAAAACCAGAGGCAGGTTGAAAAAAGCGAGAATCTTGCCCAAGACTCACCCTCAACCTTTTTGCACCAAAGGTGTCTCGCCGCATCCGCCACAGGCCCTTCGCTACGGTGGAAGCTCGGATGTCACGCCGTCCACCTTCTCCTCTTCACCCAGCTGTGTCGAAAAGCCGCGCCGATCGTCTGAAGAATGAATGAATGATTTATCACACACGTCTCTCCAGACAGAAACGGGTACGCATCTGGGTTTTTGCAAAATCGAGTGAAACCTCACCCCGAATCGGTAACGCAGGTGGGGATGTGATTTTACATGTAAGGCCATGTGCCTTACAGTAATTACAGTAATAATGTAAGGCAAAAACTGCGTGACAGCGTGTAAATCATGTAAAACACTTAGTAATCCTTATGTAAGCCTTCTGATTGGTCAAATCCATGGTCTTGGCAATTCTCTGCGGAGAGATTTTGCTTATCTACCTGCACCGGAGCCTACAGGCATGCTGGCTGGCGACGATGAGTCCGATATTGAGGCGGGCTAGGCATTGGAAGACGTCCTATTACGTCACACACGTACCTCAGATGTGTATAGCCTCATTTCTTGAATACGCCATGGCAGAAATCTCGCAAGAGTACCCCCAAGGCGAGTACATTATTCGGAAATGGTACCTCCCAATAGGAGGCTTTCAGGCCAAATATTAAGTACCTACTAGCGCCCTACTAGCGTGACCGTCAGGCTCATGTGTCTTACAGTAATTACACGTGTAATTACTGTAAAGTGTAATTACTGCAAAGTCAAAATCACATCACTAAATGCAGGTGAGTCGCATGAATCAATGTCTCGCATCATTGACGACGGCGAGTGCCTGCGTAGCGTAGCGTATCCGGAAGGTACCGGCGGGCTGTACGCGTGCTGTCCGGAAGTGAGGTACTTGATAGAGCGAGGACGACGATACTTTTCTTTCGCCTAGCCGGATGTCGCTCGATCTATCGGTGTCCTCGCTCTATCAAGTAGAGCAGCTCACTTCTGGCCGAAGCTCCCGTTCAGCTCCATCACCAAGGGATACTCTAGGAATGATCAGTCCTACCGTATTATTGTCGGTTTAAAGTGAGCTTGCCTCTCAACCTTGGACTCGATTCGTCATGTTGGTAAAAATACTGGAGGTGTAGGCACTGGACATACTTGTACATAATTAGGTACTCATAGTTTCAGTTAAGGTAAGGTAGGGATGACTTTTTGCCGGTAGCTCCCGTGGGAGAGTGGCAATTAGCACCACGCTAGTCTCAGGGCCAGCAGCGGGAAATCTTCGGTAATTACCTTAGTGTAGACTGATTAGGTAGAGTAGCGCCCCCTTTTGTTGCTCCGCTCCGATCTCGCACCGGTCTGCAAAAACATTCCTATATGCAGCTGCTCAAACGTCCAGATCTGAGACCCAGATATCTGTAAGCGGCCCGATGAGGGTCAGATCAGGTTCGATGGCGAGAAAGTGGTAACTACCCACCTGAGCGTTTCACCGGGGGCCAACAGCGAGCTAAGAATAGGCTTTCGCAAACATTGGAACAACATGAGGCAAATTGCTCACAGTCATCTCGTACTCTCGGGCTTAGAGTGTAAATTTTCCACAACAATATAAGATTATCGTATTATTTTATTAAGGACCACGCCCTCCAGGCCTCTTTCCTGTTTACCATCCCACAAGAGCCATCCTGCGCATCCACAAAGTCTCTCCAGTTACACCTTCCACAAACCGAAATTCTCCCTCGTTGCTCTTAAATATCTTCCTTTGGTATCTTTACTGTCCACACACTTCTCTTCTTTCATACGCTCTTTTGCTGCTTTTTCCAGGCATCTCCACACCTCTTCACGCTCTCTATCCCAGATACTCACCACCGCAAAGATGCAGTCCAAGCTTGTTATCAGTGTCGCTCTCTTCTCTGCTGTCGCCTTTGCTCAGTCCAATGACTTCAACATTGATACCGCCGAGGTACTATTTCCCTCAGCATCGTCCCAAGGCCGCCCGATAGCCTCGCTAACATTAACCCCATAGGAAACAAAAGTCATTGGTGAACTCGAAGGCTTCGTCACAACCCTCGAAGCGAATCCAACTTTCCAAGCAGACGTCGCCGCTCTCATGACAGCACTCCCCAGCAGCGTGGTCCAAGAAGCCGAACAAGACCCTGAAGCACTGATCGATCAGATTGGTTCCAGTAGCGAAGTTCCGGCCTGGGTGTCCGCTATCCCCACCCCCGTTGTTGAATCTCTAGAGACGCTCATCGCGAAGCCCATTAAGGCGGTGGTCGACGTGGAGGGATACATTGAGCAGCTAGTCGAGGAGCCCGAGGTCGCTTCTGCTGTATCCGTCCTCATGACCGCCGTCCCAACAAGCGTGCAACAGGCGTTCGAATCCAATCCTGCCGGCTTCCTTGAGAACATCGTCACCGCTACAGCACTACCTTCATGGGTCACCGACATCCCAGCACCTCTTCAAAGCGATCTCGGTTCCATAGTTAACGAGGCTCTGAGCATTATCGATAAGGACTTGGAAGGTGGCGCTAATGCTACCGGGACCGCAGGTGGCTTCATGCCTTCTTCGGGCTATGCGAAAGCCACGGGCACGGGAGGTGTGTTTGGCTACAACGGTACAAACGGTGGTCCCAGCGGAAGCCCAATCGCATACACGGGAGCTGCGGCGCCAATGAAGACGGCAGCAGCAGGGATGGCCGCGTTGATGGTTGGAGCGGGGTTTGTCTTTAATGTTTAACTTACATTTCTTGAAGGACTCGGGAAGTGGTACTGTATTGAATAATCACTCTGTAGGATAGGGGGGAGACAGGTGTTGTAACAATTGCAGATTTTGGTGGTAGATTTGATGGGCATATGTTATAGCCTGGACTGAGCAGCTACTAATCGATACACTGTCCCTAATCAAAAGCTCTAAATACATTATCGAAGATCTCTTTGTGTGGGCGCACCAGGCGGGATGTATGAGGAGAGATCTGTAGTACCCGAACAAACATGTCCTATGACAACGAGTGCTAAGAGCTTATCAACGTTGAACACTGCCCTGCTTATCAATTTCTCCGAAAGCCGAGCCCGAGCTTACCGTGACGTCCTTGATTTGGTTTGTCTCGAGCTGAGGTACGTAAGGGCAGGATTCGGTATGTCTTGCCATCATGCCTTTTCTTTCACCCTTCCTTTGCTCCATTGGAGAGACCTACATGAAAGTAGCCTCGATGCGGGGTGATTGAACCAATGTCCACCACCTCTACCACCTTTACCTCGTGACAAAGACCGCCCTTAACCCATTTTCCCTACCCTCGGACCATTTTCTGACGCGCTGAGAAGCAGACATCAGTCTCTCGACTGCGGCGTGCAACCGTAGAGATGGAGAACGAAGAAGCCTTTGAAGCGGATGCCGAAGTTGATGGGCTCGAGCAAATGCGCTCGCGCTCTGCATATCGATCTACGCAGAAGGGGCACAATACTATAAAAGAGGCCTTAGGTGGTTTCGAATCTGAGAGAGATATCCATAACGAAGAGTCGCCCCTGCTTTCCCCCGATCGTGGAAATGGAGGTAGAGAAGCGTCTGAACAGGGGGCCGGCGAGACAATGGGGCCACCCAAGGGGGACGGCGAGGGAGATTTCGAGGGGCGGCCGTGGTGGAATAAGCCATCTGTGAGAACTCCCCTATCTCCGCATATGAATAAGTATAGACTGACCGATATGTTCAGGTGTTCTGGCTCCTTCCTCCCTTCTTCCTCTTCACCCTAGCCTTCGGCGGCACACTCGTCCCAAGAATAAACCTCATCCTCTCTCTCATCTGCGAAGAGTATTTTGCCGAGAGGTCACTTCATGACCCAAGCTTCCACATGATGCCTGTCATACTGGGTGACGAAAACCCGCAATGCCGGATACCAGAAGTACAATCGCTAGTCTCAAAATTCACTCTATACTGCAACCTCGCAGCAGGCCTGCTATCAGCGGTTGTCAGCCCTAAATTAGGAGCGCTCTCAGACCGCTACGGACGAAAGTTGATGCTTTCAGTCACCATTCTGGGCACAATACTCTGCGAAACTGTCATCATAGTCGTAGTGAAGTACCCGGACACTTTCTCCGTCAATTGGATACTCCTAGGCTACGCCTTAGACGGGCTCGGAGGCTCCTTTATTGCAGCGATGGCACTAAGCTATGCTTATGCCAGTGACTGCACAGCGCCCGACAAGCGCAATGTCGCGTTCGGATATTACCACGGGTCTCTTTTCTGCGGCATAGCCATGGGCCCAATCCTTGCGGGCTACTTCGTCAAAGCGACTGGCCAGCTTCTGTCTATCTTCTACATTGCCGTCGGAGCACACGGCTTATTCCTCCTTTTCCTCCTATTGATCGTTCCGGAATCCCTGTCTAAAAAGCGCCAACTCCGCGCTCGAGATGACAGTGATTTTGTTGGCGCAGGCGAACAGCGGTCCCTTTCGGACTGGGCGTCATACACCATCAAGCTACTTACTGGGACGAAGCTGCTCCAACCTCTCGCTATCCTCTGGCCTACAGGCGAAGGTACTAATCCCGCCGTGCGTCGGAATCTGGTCTTCCTTGCGGCTGTCGATACAACAATGTTTGGCGTAGCAATGGGCTCTATGACCGTCGTCATCATTTACACAGGGTACATGTTCGGCTGGGGCACTTTAGAGCAAGGTACCTTCGTCTCCATTGTCAACATCGGTCGGGTCTTTACGCTCCTCGTGGTCTTACCTGTCGCCTCTCGCATCCTGCGTGGCCCGCGGAGGAATTCTGTGCAGAGAAGTTCAGGATGTGATAATATTGACCTAGGCTTCATACGTACGGCCATTTTCTTCGACCTGCTGGGCTTCATTGGCTACATTACGGTCAGAAGTGGGAGCCTCTTCATCCTGTGTGGAGCAATCGCGAGTATTGGAGGTATGGGGTCGCCAACGCTACAGGCTGCATTGACGAAACACGTCCCGCCAGACCGGACCGGGCAAGTTCTGGGAGCGATGGGGTTGCTACATGCTTCGGCACGCGTTGTAGCACCGACAATATTCAACCTTATCTACGCAAAGACTGTGGGGAAGTTTACGCAGACGGTGTTTGTGTGCTTGGCAGCCACGTTTGGGGTGGCTTTTATTTTGAGTTGGTTCATTAGGCCGCATGGTACGTTATAATCTGCATATTCCATCAAGGCGCTGCTGGGAGGTGAAAGACACTGACTGATTCATGTAGTATATTGGGACCAGAAAGAACAGTCGAACAGTAGTCCTAGCGACGGTACAGCCAACGGAGACACACTTCACGGAGATGACGATGTTGTAAGATGAATGACACATTCAGAAAAACTTGAGACTGCATAGCTTTGGATTAGACCGTGGAAATGGATTGGCAAATTTTGAGACTGCATAGAATGCATGGACTGCATAGCGGTGGCTCAGACCCTGTGAGTGGATTGGCCATGTCAGTGCTAGTACACATCAATCAAGAATAGAAGATCATAGAGCAAGAATCGAGGTCTTCAGCGACACTTATCTCTCACGAATGTCTTCTTTTCTACAACTCATCCCTCGTCCCCTCCATCACTTCCCCACCCCCCAGCCACTTCCCCGCCAAAAATCCCACAATATCACTCGTCCCGTTCCACCCCACCGGCCCATACCTCTGCCCATCATCATCCTGCCCCTTCGTACTCGGCCACCCATGTCCAAATCCCCTGATATAATAATGCACCACCACATCCTTCGCCCCTTGCTTCCCGATGCCACACCACCATTCCGTCTTCTGCACACTGCCATCATGTATATCGCGTTTCAGTTCGGACTGTGCCCCAGCGCAGCCATTCCTTTCCCTCCAGTCCCCGAGCCACTCCGTAAGCGGATATGTCTCTCCGTCCGGCGTACTCTTCCCATCGTAGTGTATCACCGGATCGGCACCGCCGTGCATTTCGAGTATCGGCAACGGGGCCTCTCCCTTGTTGCAGGTTCCAAATAACGGCCCGTCGCCTTTGAGGGAACGGTCTTTGTAGAACGCCCCGCTCACGATGGCAGCCGCTGCGACTTGCGCGGAGACCTCGGGATCGCACGCCAGTAGATGCGTCAGGCCGCCACCGTTCGAGAAGCCGACCAGGTAGACCCTCGTGAGATCTACACACCATTCCTGCATCAACTGTTTCAACAGCGCCCTCGCGAAAGCAATGTCGTCGCGTTCACTCCTGGGCGGGGACGTGGGGTCCCCGAGCCATTGCCCGTGGACGCCTTGGGGGAACGCGACGATTGATCCTCGGAGGCGGAATTCCGGGTCCGTGAGTTGGGTTTGGGTCTCGAATTGGGACGCGGTTTGGCCCTTGCCGTGGAAGGCGAGGATGAGGGGGGAGGGGGCATGGGAGGGGTTGAGGGGAAGGGAGAGGAGGTAGGTGCGTAGGCCGCCGGCCGATGGGACGTCGATGGTTTGGTGGGTTGAGGGGGTGCCTGGAGTGGGAGAGTCTGGCGGTTGGGGGTTGGCGCAGCCGGGTGAGAGGTTGGAGAGGGCGAGGGCGAGGGCGGAGAAGAGGAGGAGGGTGAGGGTCAGGAGGACCGGATTGAGTGGCGTCATTGTTGTGGGTGGTCGAGTAAGGTGCTGGCCATGGTGGGAGAAGGAGGAATTGTTCTGGTGGACTGCGAGACTGCCCACTGCAGATGGGAATGAAGTCGCAAGCAGGCTTTGATGTTTACAAAACTTGACAGCCCTAGCACTAAGCCCGATCTGAATCCCGGGTAGCTGAAGTGAAGATGTTCAGATTCGAAAGCGTCACCATTCCAACGGAGTAGTCATTTATATCCCTTCTGGCCAACGAACGTGAAAGCGTGAATCATCTCAAAATATGGATCCCAAAGCTCTGCCATCCGAAATACAGACGCTTCTGAGGAAGGCATTGCAAGCACCGCCGGGATCCTCCACGGCAAGCGCACCCTTACACTCGACTGATAGGGATGGCTTCGCGCCTGAGGGCGATAAACGGTTCAAACAATTGATAGACGGGATACGTTACTCGCATAAATTCATCTTGAGCTATCAGGTGGTGCTTATCGGATTGTTGTTGGTGTTCACAGCAATACATTGGGGGTCTCGACTCCAGGCCTGGCGGAGACGGAGAAATACAATCAAGGGCAGATATGGGGGCGATAAGACGACTGTTGGAAAGGTAGTAGACGGCAAAGGAGCTGTGGCCATACAGAGCATAAGTAGGGGGAGTTCGTCGTCGAGTAGCACTCTTCAAGAGGACTTCGATCCCAAGTATCAGGACTCGGAGCGGAGGTTGGACGAGCAGAGCCTACTACTGCCTAAAGCTTCAGGTGGAAAGGCACCTTCTCGGGGATGGACGATGACCAACAAGATCAGTGCATGGTTCGTCTATCAGCCACGGCCAATCCCCATCGTCAACAAGACCTTGCCCTCGAACGGCACTACCCTGGTGGTCCTCGCCTTCATCGGCCTTCAGATGTTTTACACATTCTTCAAGACCTCGCTATCGCTCTCAATGCTTTTTGTCTTCGCAGACCGAACATCCCTAGTGTTTGTCGCTAACCTTCCCCTCCTCTACCTCTTCGCTGCAAAGAACCAACCTATCAAATTTCTCACGGGCTACTCCTACGAATCCCTCAACATCTTCCACAGGCGGCTTGGTGAAGTCATGTGCGTACTCGCTCTTCTACACTCCGCAGGAATGCTCGGCGTCTGGTACACCGTCCTGCAACCCGCGGGTATCACACTGATCAAGTTTCTACTTATCAAGATGATTCTACTGGGTATTGGCGCTTTTGTAGCCTACGAGGTGCTGTACTTCACGTCTTTGGGCAGCTTTCGTCAACGGTGGTATGAGCTGTTTTTGGGAGTACACGTTGTGCTGCAAGTTGCTGCTCTAGTCTTAGTGTGGTTTCACCATCGCCGTAGTAGATTGTATGTCGGTGTGGCACTGGCTATTTTTCTGATTGACAGGCTTGTGTATCGAATGTCTGTCAAACTCACGACAGTCCGGGCCTCGCTAGAGCTCCAAGAGGATAAGAGGACTGTTGTTCTCCGCGCACCTGTACCCACCCAGGAGAAGCACAAATGGGTGAAAGCAGTGTTAGGCGCAGGTATCACCACTGGGTGGAAAGCCACTGAGCACGTCTTCCTGACTGTGCCATCGCTCGCCCGCAAACACATCATCCAAGCACATCCATTCACCATCGCTTCTAAGGCTCCTACGGCCGACGAAAGGGAGGCAAACTTGGAGCTCATCATCAGAGCTCAGGATGGCTTCTCTGGAGATCTAGTGCGCTATGCTAAAGGTCACGATACGGTCGCTATCAGACTGGACGGGCCGTACGGCTCCCAGACTGCTGTAGAGTTGCTCCAAGACTCCGAGCACGCTATCATCGTCGCCGGGGGCAGTGGTATCGCGGTTGCATGGCCGTTAGTGTGGTCGGTGATCGGTGGATCCGCAATGCAGGACCTGGAGCATTCGATTAGCCCAGACAATAGGAAGAAGATTCTGGTTCTCTGGATCGTTCGGGAACGATCCCACATCTCCTGGCTTGGCGAAGAAAGGCTAGAAGAGCTGCGCGCGAGAGGCGTGACTCTGATGACGCCTGCACCAACGTCAGACCATGGCCACCCTGACATTGCAAACATTATTGGAGAATGGCTCAATGATATTGATGATCAGGTATCTAGACGAGGCAAGATTGGCGTTGTCGTTTCTGGTCCTGATGGGATGAATCGTGCAGTTAGGAACGTTTGCTCTTCTTTATTGCAAGAAGGACGAGATGTCAGCGTGGAGGTTGAGAAATTTGGATGGTAATACGGAGTCTTCTGGTTGGGCAATCCATCTGCCTGAAATGAGCTATGAGATAGATCAATGTCTAATGATGACATTAAGATGCTTTTTGCCCTTGGGATACCGTTCAGAAAGGCCTTGATCACCACCAAACCACACACTCGCTGACAATGCCCCTTTATCCTAACATGCCACCGATTGTGCCGACGGGCATTTGGGTTCCGTTCGACTCCCTTCGACAAGATTCAGACGCTGATGGCGTTGAATGTATCCTCAAACATGACCTCCAGTGCCAACTCGATATGACCATGACTCACCTCGTCTGGGCCAAAAATGGGAATCCTTCACCTGATACACTTGGGTAGAGCCTTTTGGATACCGCACTTCAGCTAAAACTCACCATGCAAGCCATCGTGCACCATTGGCTGGAAGCCGTTGTTGTAGCTGTGGCGGCAATATGCGAGGAAGCTAGCCGTGTCTGGTGTTTGTGCCTGGCCCGTAGACCTGCTTTGTTGAATGCACCCCAGCATGGACTGATACCTTTTCGTGGTGCTGGGGATGCACATCTAGCAGCACATCGGCCTAGATTCGTCGGATCACTGAATCTTTATTTCGCATCGCATCGCCTACCATGCTCACCGAAGCAATAAATTTCCCTTTTTCCTACTGTGATATTCTTCACATTATCGTCTCGTACCCCAAAAGTAATTTCCCGTAAAACCCCATCTACGACCCGCAAAGCCCGTGTGTCGAAAAACACCACCTACATACCTCACAACCGGCGCCCACAGGGGCTCTAGCTCGCGGGCTCGTAGAAACTTTCCTGGCTCGCCCTTACACCCCACCGCTGTTATCGCTGCAGTCCGCGATCCAAAAGTCTGCAGATGACCCGTCACTTCTGCACCTCGGATTCCCCGAATCCAGCACGCTCGTCAGTGTCAGAACCGACAGCTTCGGAGAATACGATGTCCGCACCGCAATCGCTCACCTAAAATCCGACCACGCCAATCTTGAAAATCGACGTCGTCAGTGCCAAAGCTGGCATGCTCAACAGTCTCGAAACTGTCCTGCGGACGCCGGCGCAGGAGATGCGTGTTCATTCCAACGCGAACGCCATTGCCCCTTTGATGCTATCCCAAGCCTCATCGCCGCTTCTGCAAGCGGCTGAGCGGTCGATGTTTTTCGTGATTTCGTCTAGCGCTGGTACTGTAGTATCGCTGAGATGGAGTCGGTGCCCGGGCTGGTTTATGCCGTTTCGAAGGCTGCGGTCAATCTTATGGTGAGGAAATTGCACTTTGAGCACCAAGGGTGGATTTCGGCGGCGATTCATCCTGGGTGAGTAAATCTTTCCTGGTTGTGGAGGGAGGGAACGGTGAAGTGGAGTGCTGATGGTGGACATTTAGATGGGTACGGACGGGAATGGGATAATTTGCAGCGGAGGCTTGGGGAGCGAATGAGACGCCTATGATTGTTGGGCAGAGCGTTGAAGGGGGTACGAATGTGGTATGTAGTCTGTCAGTGGAAGAAGAAGAATATGAGCTGGTTCGTTTCGGCTTTCTAGATTGATTATGCAACGAGGGCGGAGACATCAGGAAATTTCCTGTCGTATGATGGTACCGCAATCGCTTGGTAGAGGAAAGCATCCGGGGTTTGTGTCCGCATTTCAGAAGATCTCTAGGGTCAGATGTCGACTTCTGCGGCCTACCGTAGCAAGATCGTGGCCGGATGTGGGACATCAGCTTTAATGTTCTAGGGCGGTGATTGTGAGACGCCCTGAAAGTGTCATAGAAATCGGGCTCTCGGTGTCTGAACCAACAATCAATTGACTTGGAAATATTGCCTGAGAATAAACACCTACCTACTCTGCGGAAGTGGGCCTCTGAATGGAGCCAACACGAGCCTTGGCTTTTGGTTTCGACCATTGATTTGGGGCCTTGCCCCCAGAAAGAGTCAAGAGTCACTGGAGTAGCTTACTTTATTCTTTCAGACCTATTCTGGAGGTCTTCGCGCGAGTTCGATACTTGTATGATGTCCCACCCATCTTTTTGTTATTGAGTCAGAGGAAACTTAAGAGCTGTATTTAATAGACATCGAGGAAAAGTGATGAGCGACAGCTTTATCCTGTGGTAGCATGTGCTGTTGTTTGTGAGTGTTGAGAAGCGAGGAAGCAGATCCGAAAGGCACTTGTTCCTCTAAGGCCATGAAGTAGTACCGTTATTTGCGTTATCATGCATGTGAAATATGAAGCCAGCTACACGCACAACTGTCTTGTGTCTGGCAATCAATTCTTGCAGTTTTCAAATCCTTCGGTCCATCTTGTAGTCGCTCAATGGCGCTGTGCTATCTATCTTCTTGTCCCAATATCTTACAACGCTAAATTGCTATAATATATATTTGATTAGTGAAAGTCGTTACGAATGCACGAAATTCGACAAGAAGTTTGACCCGTTCCTTGTCCCTCCTATCGTACTCCTCCTTCTCAAGATGCTACCGATCCCACCCATCGTCCAGCCCGACGCGTGAGATCACCTACCCCAGAGAAGATAACCATTTCTCCTCGCCCATAGGTCGTCCCGGTAGGAATTAGAAGCGTCATCACGGTCCCCCAAACATTCATGATCCGGGGGATTTTCCTATGATACGAGGAACTCGGAGTGCAAAAGGCTGATTCTTGGAGATACCAGCGTAAGGTGACGGAGAGATATATTTGTGGGGGACCTCGAAGTAAGGCGGCGACCAAAGTGGGGGTAGGAGGGTCTGTGAGAGACCTCTGGGGGGGATATTGGAAGAGAAGGTTCTGATGCTGTGGAAAGGAAAAATGAGATGGCGATCGAATACTGCTGTGGTGCATTCAACAGAGAGTGTTTTCAGCCTGGTGTCGTAAGTAAGGTCCGTGCAAAGAGACCCGTCTATTCGGCACCGGCTCTGCTCATTTTATACAAAGATATTGGACAGATGATGCGAATTCACGACGTGGCTTCTAGGCAATGGACGTTTCTGAGAAAGCCGGAGTGAAAACGCATCATAGATGGCATCTCTGCAAATCGTTCTGGGACTGAGACAAAGACTTAGGAGCAGTACTTAACGCAAAAGTAGAGCACATATCTGTTCCAATAAAGTAATTATTATAGGCAACCACAAACAAAGCTCGGAATTCTCTACGAAAAAGATTATTGACGTGGTTGATTAGGGGGAGAGGATGTGTTCGAAATTGAAGAATGGAGAGTAGCACGCCTATCAAAATTGCTAGGAAGTGTCAGCCTCGTTGGAAATATTGGATTAGGGCTAGGGCTATGTGACTGGACTGCATACTGCATACTGCATACGTTCAGGTGGGCATGGACCTCGAAGACATGTGCCCATGTGTTCATAGATTTCCTCTACCAATCGTTGGTAGCCAAGAAGGAAAATCTCGGTTGCCTGATGCCTCAAATCCACGCCTCAAATCCACGCAAATTCAAGTGAGCAAATTAGCTCAAAGAGCAACAAGCCTTGCCATACAGGTAGGGCTGCTAGCTTCTACCGAGGGACAGATTTCGGCGCTTCCTCTGGGTCGTACAATTAGAGAGGGCCTAGCAGCGTTTTCTACCTATATCCAGATTGTGCCACCGCACAACATTCTCTAATAACGCTCGTGTATAGGCCTCGATCCCGAGGGAGCGGTGGAACAAGTATAAGAGACAACGCCCCGGCCATTTGGTGCCGTACTTGTACGCTGGCATGGTCTGATACATGCCTACATACAAGTATGTCTAGGAGCCATAGAAGCATGGGACCAACATAGAAGTTCCCCATAATCGCAAAGGTTTCTCCTCGCAATGATGCAGCTGTCGTGTTTGAAGATACCCTTATCGCTTATCGTGAAAGGGTTCGCGCCTTCTCATTCCTAAGATGCGTGGTTTGTGCGTGATTCGTCATCCAAAATAATCCATTTCAATATATAGCATACGACGACAAACACATTCTTTAATCTTCTTTATTTTTCCTTATTTTTCCTCAAAAGCACTCGTCGGCGCCGACGTCCTTTTCCTGCTCGAAAATTGTGCTTCGGACGCTTAAAAGGTTCCACTTGCAGTGGCACGGGCCCTCCACCTTACTTTGCTTGTCTTGCGTCAGTAGTCATGAATAGCACCGCTGCTGTCGCGTGGAGCACCACCATCCTTGTCAAAAACATTCACTGCGCTTCTTGCGTAACTTACATCCAGAGAACTCTTGGTCGCTTTGGCAATGCAATTCATCAAGTTGACACCAATATCCTTTCCGGAGAAGTCCGCATACTTCATGAGAAGACGTTGTCTGCCTCAGAAATTTGTCGCTCCCTATCTGATGCCGCGTTCGAAGTTTACAGTGCGGTTACACTGGATGAAAGCGAACGCAGAGTTCAGGAGCTTGGAGCTGAAGACAGTGGAGACGGATGGCTTGAAGCCGCTACAGACTTCTGGAGACCATCATCTCTAAGCCTAACGAAAACCAATGAATGCAACCAGCTGTCCGATCGCAGTCGGCGCAGGAGCCACTTGATGAACTGTGTTGCTTGCCAAAAAGAAAGCGATCGACCAATGGAAATATCCGCGAATTCCACCACTGCGTCTCTGGATAGCCGCCAGGAAGGTGATCTTGCCCTAATGAAGCATGGCCTTGTAAAAGCAAGCGGCCTTGAATCGAGCCCATCTACTCCAAATCCATCCCCAAGCATCAGCTCTCTATCAAGACCGACGCCCCAGCATTCTCGTTCCAATGAGCGGTTCGAGGCCATCCTCAGTATTGGTGGGATGACTTGTGCATCTTGTACAAGCGCCATTGATAATGGCCTGTCTTCCAAGGTATTACCGTTTGTTGAATCCGTCAATGTGACATTGATGACAAACAGTGCGCGGGTGGTTTTTCAAGGAGAAGAGAACCTGCAGAAGATCGTCGATACCATAGAGGATCTGGGTTACGACGCTGCCGTACAGCGTTGCGGTGTGATCAACGCTCAGTCAAAGGAGGTAAAAAGCAAAATGAAAGAAAGCCAAAGGACGGTGATGCTGAAGATAGATGGCATGTATTGCAAACATTGCACACCCCGAATTTATAAAGCGATCAAGACCAATTACTCGGGAGCGGTCACCATCGACAAACCGCCAACGTTGAAGGATCCCGTCATGATAGTCAACTACTCACCTTCTCCGCCTAGCATCACAATCAGACACATCATCGTTACGATCAAATCTGTGGACGAGTCATTCAACGTCGAAATTTACACCCCGCCGTCAATAGAACAAAGGTCTCAAGCCATGCAGAAGCACGAGCAGTATCGACTTCTAATTCGTCTCGTCCTTAGCTTTGTGGTCGCCATCCCCACATTGTTGATAGGAGTGGTGTGGATGAGCCTAGTGCCGGCGTCCAATAAGGTCAGACGATTCTTCGAGCAAGCAGAGTGGGCTGGGACTGTCACTCGTGCTGATTGGGCTATGTTCATTCTGGCGACACCAGTCTTCTTCCTCGCTGCGGATGTTTTTCACCTGCGCGCTATTAAGGTATTCACATCCCGATTAGTCGCTTCCTGTCCACGTTCTTAGATCTGAGTCACGAGCCATGCTGACCCCAAACTTTAATTAGGAGATACGTGCGCTGTGGCGAAAAGGGAGTAGGGTACCTATTTATCAGAGGTTTTACCGCTTCGGCAGTATGAACTTGCTCGTCTCTGCAGGCACGTCAATAGCATATCTCGCTTCCGTTGCAGTGCTTGGGATCAACGCCACGACGAGATCTAAGTCTCTTGGCTCAAATTCAACATATTTTGATTCTGTCGTTTTTTTAACCTTCTTCATTCTTATTGGACGATACTTAGAAGCTTACAGCAAGGCTAAAACGGGTAACGCTATTGGGTTGCTGGGGAACCTCCGGCCACGAGAGGCAGTGCTTGCCACATCTTTAGAGGAAACAATGCCTGTCGAAGCAGCTTCGGGAGACAGAAACGAAAAGCAGAGAGAAAGCACATCGCCAACTGATTCCGAACGAATTGATGCGAATCTTCTAGAAGTAGGAGACATCGTAATGGTCCCACATGGATCATCCCCACCCGCAGACGGAACAATAACAGAAGGCTCCACTGATTTTAATGAGAGTTCTCTGACGGGCGAAGCCAGGGCCGTAACCAAGTGCCAGGGTGAAAGGGTCTATGTTGGAGCTATCAATATTGGAAATGCCATCACTGTCAGAGTCACGGACGTCGGTGGTAGCTCCATGCTCGACCAGATAGTGGCTGTTGTCCGTGAAGGTCAGACCAAGCGTGCGCCCGTCGAACGAGTAGTCGATATCGTGACTGGCTACTTTGTGCCAGTCATCACTGCCCTAGCGATCATTACATTCGTCATTTGGCTCTCACTTGGTGAGTCAGGAGCTCTGTCCCACAACTACCTTGGTCGACAGCAAGGAGGTTGGGCTTTTTGGAGCCTCGAATTTGCGATTGCAGTTTTTGTTGTAGCATGTCCTTGTGGAATTGGTCTTGCAGCTCCGACGGCGCTCTTTGTGGGAAGTGGTCTGGCAGCAAGCCACGGCATACTTGTTCGTGGAGGAGGCGAGGCCTTCCAGGAGGCCAGCAAAATCGATGCGGTGGTCTTCGACAAGACAGGCACACTTACCGAAGGCGGAGATATCAATGTCACTGATCATGAGATGCTTTATGAAGACAGAGAAGGACGCATTGCTTGGGCGGTCACTAAGGCTTTGGAAGAGCCGAGTTCGCATCCACTGGCTCGCGCCATTCTCGCATGTGCCTCCACGCAACCTTCTGAGACGATCCGCACGGTCAATGGAATCAATGAAGAGCCAGGTCGTGGCATGCGTGGCACGTTTCTCAGCTCCGATACGTCACAAGACTCAGACTCGGGAATTTACGAAGCAGCTCTTGGCTCCGAAGCCCTCATATCCTCTCTCATCTCCGACACTCTCACACCCAACTACTTCACTAACACCACACTCTCCCGCTGGAAGTCCGAATCAAAATCCGTCGCCCTTCTCGCCATGCGCCGAATCCATGGGTCCAGCGATCCTGCCTGTGTCGAGGTCTTCTCGGACAGCCAAACACCATGGACCATTGCAGCCATCTTTGCCACCTCTGATCCTGTTCGTCCCTCCGCCGCTCCTACTATCTCAGCTCTCCAGTCTAGAGGCATACCAGTCTACATGCTCACTGGTGACAACCCAACGACTGCTTCCGCAGTAGCGAGCACCCTTTCCATCCCCCAAGATCATGTCTTCGCAGGCGTCTTACCTACGGAGAAAGCGAGCAAGATCCGCTCGTTACAGGAAAATGGACCTCGTCGACAAGGTTCTTCTACATGGCTTAAGAAACTCTTGGAGAAGAAAGGGTCCGACGAAAAGGAAAAAGAGAGGGCCATAGTCGCGTTCATCGGCGACGGCATCAATGACGCCCCTGCCCTCACCATCGCCGACGTCTCCATCTCCCTTTCTTCCGCTTCCGACATCGCTATGCATAGCTCATCATTCATCCTGCTCTCCTCTTCCCTAGATTCCGTCATCACCCTCTTTGACCTCTCGTCAAGGGTGTTCAGAAGGGTCAAGTTCAACTTCGGCTGGGCGGTCATTTACAACATCATCCTCGTGCCAATCGCAGCCGGAGTGCTTTTCAAGGTCAAGAGTGAGGGATGGAGACTAGGTCCCGTTTGGGGCAGTGCTGCCATGGCTCTGAGCAGTCTGTGTGTTGTGGGAAGCAGCTTGGCGCTGAGGTGGGAAGGGGCATGGTTGGATATGTTCAAGAGAAGGAAGGCGGTTGCCCGTGAAGAGTAACGGGTTGGAGGGGATTGGGATACGATGGAGGTGCGTGATGATGGTAGCAGGCCAGCATCGAGACGAGTGATGATGGGAAGGAGTGCTTTGAGGGTTACTTTTGGGACGGTCTTATACCCTGTAAACACTTTTGATATAAGAACTCATAGATCTCGTCGGTGACGTAATAAAAGTTTTATCGCTAACATGATGCTCGTGCTTTTGAGCGGTGCTACTGCTTTCAAAGTATTTCAATCGCCAGAATCAAGAGCATGTGAGAGCGGTTGGTAAACTTGCAATGTGGCGGGTACATCTCAGGCAATGTGCGCACCGAGGGGATGCAGGAGGAGAAGAGCAGAGCAGTAAAGGTATTTACGATCCATTTCGCGTGCTCACATTGAGCGGGTATCTAACCTAAACAGCGCCCCGTAAGCATGATCGACAAGGCATATCGACAACGCAACACAATCGCCCCTATCCCACTCAACTCCAAAAAGCGCTTATTCTTCACCCCAGACACCTGCCACTTTCGCGCCTAGAACGCCTTTGATCTTGGCCCTCCCTACCACCCCACCCAGCCTCGTTTCTATCATCGCCTCTCGTTCTTTGCGACTCCCACAGCCTTCAAACGCCTCGATGAACGCCCTCGGCGTGCCCCAGTATTTCTGGATAGCCAGCGCTTTGTCCCCGCTGATACCTCTCGTGCACATGAGCATTTTCAGGAAGACATCTCGCAGCGTGAGAGTATCGGATTTGGAGGAGAGGGAGGCAAAAGAGGGGTATGTTATATGGTAGGACTTGTCGAGGTGCAAGGGGTGCGTCCGGAGGTGAGTTAGAAGGGGTAGGTATGTTGTCGGTGTTAAAGCGTTCGTCGGTATCAAATATAGGGGCTTCGACTCGTATAGCGATTTGAGCATCTTTGTCATGCGGGCTAGGTAGCGGATGGTCTCATCCAGCTTTACAGTTCTTTTCACGAAGTAGCCATTAACAACCTGTGTACTTGCAATAGCCGATTGGATAGCCTCGTGAAACTTCGTACTTTTCTCAGTGCTCAGGCTGAATTCTTCGATGAGGTATATCACGTTCCTCACACCGGATTTGCGTAGACGAAATTTTTGTTCCTGGAACCTGCCATCTGTAATGCTGCCCACAAGGTCATCAAGGCGCTTACGCTCGACAATCCAATCGAGACAGATTTCGGAGCCTTCTTCGCCGTGACGGGAGAGAAGGTCGGGATCGTGGCACTTGGCTACCCAGAAGAAATCGCCTAGTTCTAGTGGCCGGACCAGGGGTTTGGTGCCTTTCTTTGCGAGCTCGTCAGCGATGTAGTCGCGGTCGTCTTTGGTGCGGACTTCGCGATTGTCGAGTACGAGGTGGACTGTGAAGGTTCCAGGAGCGAGGCGTATGGGGTCAAAAATGGGAAGGCCGGAAGGGTTTCCGGATGACTGGGCTGGTGGCATAGATGTCCTGTTCATCGCTTGAAGCAGAGTGGACGAGGGCGGATTCGACGTTTGCTGAAGAGGTTTTGAGGCGAACTTAGATGTCAACGATCTGCTGTCTTGGTCGAAATTAGATGAAGCCCACGGCATGTCTGGAGCGGTTTCCGGCTCTGGACTGGACAACAGCTCAACGAAGTTCCTCTTTGGAGCGACTGACGGTTCTTGAGTTTTCGCTTTGGAGAAGGTGCCGTACTTGTCAATTGGAGCTCCTCCTAACCGTTGACCGGAAGGACCTGATATCGGTTCCAGCTGCTTGGCGTTCTTTGTGGATGTTGAAGATGTTGGTAGCGACCTCAGCGGTTCCTCCTCCTCAAAGCACTCTTCGAGATCGAGAAAGCGATCAGCATCTTCCCCAGCCTGGATCATGCTCTCAGATCTACCGGGCATGTCCAGGCCTCTATTACGTTTACCAGTAGCCTCATCCAGAACTCCTCCTGCCTGTACAACCCTCATCCTCCTCGCCACTTCCCAGCCGTCTTCTGTCAAAGCATATTTCCTGAGCGGTCTACCCTTCTCTTGGACCAGATCCTTGTTGACCAGCGTAGTCATCGAATTCCATGCTGTATAGAATTTCCCAGATTCGCTGGGGACCGTGAATGATGCTTCACAATGAGGTTGAGCCAGATCAATGACTTCTTTTTTGCTGAAACTCTGTAGTGACTCTTCAGGCATAGAGGACAGGGCGAGTATGAGGGCATAAGGACCGGAGCGTAGGGAAGGGACATAAGGCTTTGCCTTACGAGGCTTTTTCGCAGGAGGTACGGCAGGCTCTTCGCCATTGACAAGATCTTCAGCGCTGAGACGCCTGCGTGCTGCTCGTCCAATTAGCTGTGCCGCCTAAAAAGGCTTGCATCAAGGGCCCTTGCCCTTCCCTCGAGGCTTCTTCGGGGCCGGTAGCCCATTAGCCTCACAGTGCTCCTTCAGTTTTTCTGTCAGTCTGTCACAGATCTTGGGACCAATGCCATCGAGCTGCTGCGCTTCTGAGGGGTGGCTGAAAGTTAGCGGGCATGCTTTCATGGACTCGTAGGCTCTCTTGTACGTTGTAACACCCTTCGAGTTGCGCTCCTTGGCCAGTTCATAGATTTCTTTGATCCATTCAAGAAGCAGCGGGTTGGCACAGGTAGGTGCCATGATGCCCGGCGGCGAAAGTCTGGTGGTTGGATGGAGGTTAGCGTACGAGGGTCTTGTACGCTCAAAACACGCTAGTAGCCCTATATTCTTAGGGTCCCTTCGGTAACCACATATTTTTAAAATATGCTAATATATTTTTAACTTAGCGTAATATTAATATACGATTACGTTCGATAATTATATTTTTACTTATTAGATTATATTATATATTAAAAATATATAAATTATAAATTAACTTATAATTTAAAATCTAATATACGCTAAGTATATAGAAATAATAAATATTTATAACTATAATAGCGATATTTTTTATTTTTATAATTAATAGTTATATTTTATAACTATAATAGCTATATTTTAATTATAAATAACTCTCTATTTAAAGAGATAATTATAAATATTATTCTTACTACTATTTAATATAATTCTTTTTATTATAATAAGTAAATACGAAGAGTATTTATTCTATCTAGCTATATTTATATTACGAGCGTATTCTTAATATATTACTTAATTCTATAGTCTAATATCTTAATAAAAGATACCTTTTATTATATTATACTTTACTTTTATCTATATAATTCGATAGCCTTATTATTTTTATTCTATCTTACTTATACTAGTATTATATCTATATTAATTCTAATATTATAATAAGACTTCTTTATATACCTCTCGACGAAGAGAATTAATACATTTTTTACTTTTTACTCGAAGTAAGCGATTAAGTCTAATAAAGAAAACGCTAGATATTTCTATTATATAGAAGTCTCTATAAATAATTAATTTATATTAATTTAAAGAATATACTTTATAGTATTTATATTCTTTATCGTATCTCGAACGAATAAGAACTTATTTTACTATATTCTTATAAAGATATTCTTCTTTATTCTATTTTTCGTAAAAAGTTTATTATTAGATAATAGACTCTCGATAAACTTTCTATTATTTAAAAGAATACTATTTAAAGTACTTATTATATTTATAATAACTTAATTAATTAAGAAACGAGTATTATAGACTCTTATAAAGAAATTTTATTATTTTAAACGTTATACTCTTAATATAGAGATCTATTATATTTCTTAAATTATTATTATCTTTATAATATCGAAATTTCAGAGATCTCTCTACTCCGTTCTTATCTATATTTAATATATTATAAATTTCTTAAATTCTTACTTAAATTCACCTATATTAATATTAAGATATCTCTCTCTATATTATTAATTATCTATATATTATAACTAATTTTATCTTATATATAACGATTTATATAAAAGATACTTATTCTCTAACTTATTATTACTCTATATATTATATATATAATACTCTCTATCTATTAAGAATCTTTATTAGCGATATTATAAGATATTAAATTATCTAAAGAAGATCTAGAATTAAAATTCGTCTAATATCTTAGCTTCTTCTTCTTTATAGAAGATATTAAAATAATAAGAAGAGATATAGATTTAAAACTCGTCTAATATCTCTACTCTTTTACTCTTATTTCTATCTCTATCTAGACTACGAAATTTTAAGATACTTAAAATAGTTTAATTACTTTTCTTATAGCTAACTAGATAATTATCTAGTCTAAAACTATTAAATCTATCTATCTTTATAAATACTAATTTAATACTATTTAATAATTAAAAAATAAGAATCTAAGATAAGCTTACTTATAATAGCGATTATTTTTTTATTAATATTTTTAAAATTATTTATATTATAATAAGACTTAAAAAAGAGATTAATTAGTATATATCTATTAGACGACGATATCGTTTATATTCTATAGTTAATAATCTTCTAAATTATTTAAATAACGTTTATAAGATATTCTTATTCGTTCTTAAGAGAATTTATTAATTAGTATATATAATAGAATAAGGTAAGGCTAAGCTTAAAAACCTTGAATTTATATATATAGTTAATTATAAATTCGAGTTCGCTACGCTTTTCGGTTAGATCGGCTAAGTTAGCTCGATAGTCCTTCCGAGCTCCCTTATCAAAAATTTATATGTAGAAGTTTTACACTTTGAAGTACTCAGCTTGCGATATATATAGTTACTTTATAATTCCTTAAATTATAGAGCTCGCTTTACGCTTTCTAACGCTGTAAAAATTATAAAGTTTAACCTACTATTAGTAAATTAAATGAATATTTAAATATAATAGTTATAATAGTTACATTAAACGCGTTCGAAATTAAATAATAATCCTTTTATCTATTTACTAATTCTATTAATTCTATTAATTCTATTAATATAAATATAATCGTCTTCGATATCCCTCGTTTAATTAGAGCCCCTTACTAACGCCTCTAAATTATCTCTCGGCGAATTCGCTATTATTAATAATCGAGGTCGTAAGCGAGCTTAATAG